GGGGAAGTCTCTCGGACGGTGCCCTACCTCAGACACCACCCCCCACCGCTGCCATGGCTTTATGGCAGCAAACCCAAGCATATTACTGAGAATCACTCCTTACCACCAGACTTCAGCCTGTGGGACATAGCCACTCTCTCCACTGAGTTTCGCCTTTGTCCTGATCAGAGTGGATTGTGATAGTGCCTGTTATCCTTGTCATCTTTACCGAGTGCTCAGGAAGCCTCCAGGAACCCCTGGAAGAGTTCCTGCCTTCCAAGAAAGATGGACAGAATGGGGCAGGATGTCTGACGGTGAAGCAAAAGCCTTGTGGCAAGGAGAAAGGTCCATAGCCCCTTAGGCCACAGCTAGGTGGGATGAGTTCAATACAGTTAAATTTCAGTGTCAGTTAAATTTGGTACTTCCGAGCCTTAGGACAAGGATAGGACCGTGCGAGGCCCCAAGGACACAGCAGAAACCAAAAATGTCGAGCCTCTCTACCCTCCCTGGGCTTGCAATCTCCACGTCTGACCTGTGTCTGGCTGCTCCTCAAACTAGGCCCTGAACCGGGGAGTGGGGGTGGGGGTTGGGGGGAGCAAGACAGCTGGTCCACAGTGTAGGACCACTGTCCTTCCCTAGAGCAGGTGACCTTCCCAGTCAGCCTCCCCAGACTCGCCCAGCTTCTGGGTTGTGCAACAGCAAGTATCAGGCGGGCAGCAACATCTTGGTTCCCCCTGCTAGTAAGGTATTATTAACTCCTTCAGAGGGGAGGCCCCGCATGGCTATGGTCTTTCGGACAGTTGACCGAGTAGACTGAGGAATTCCTAGTAACTCTGGACAAGGAACATCTGCCATTTTCCACCAAAAAGGGGGAGTCTCCCCCACCTCCTATCTTTGCTGACTCCAACTAAGCCCACCCCCATCCCCTGATCTGCTCCAGGGATCTTCTTGGGGCTCCCAGGGTGGCTCTTCCCTTTCCCACACCTGCCTGGCCCAGGGCTTTTCTGAGGAGGCTGGGGTTCCAGGAGTAAGCTGATGTGCCACTTGGAAGCCAAGGTAGGGCTTGAGGGGCACAGGGGTTGCTGAGTCAGAGGATTGGGGTCACAGTGGAAGCCTCCTCCGCCTCTCATTTGCACTCTAATCACTGGAAGACAGAGCTGCCCAACTCTCAGGCCCCCCACAAGGATATACTACAAGTTCTTCAAACAAGAGCAGGACCCATCCCCCTCAGCATCCTCCAAGCCCCTTGTGCCCGGAGGGCGAGCTCATCCAGGACAAAGCTGGTCCTCCCTGAGGCCCCAACGAAGGACGGGTCCCGAACCCCAGCTACACTCCTCGCGTTGACTTCGGGGACTGTGCGGCCGTGGCGGAGCGAAAAAAGAGCGGCCCGGCGTCACCCCAAGTCCAGCCGCTTCCCCTGTGGACTCGGCCCTGCGCTCAACTCCGCTCAGCCCTGCCCTCCCGCAGGCCTCAGTCCACTCGGGGGCCGTTTCAGCAGCGCTCTAGGCCAGGGTCCGCCGGGGTCTCCCCGGAGGCCTGAGCCCCGCCCACAGGGGGGCCTCGCCCGCCTCTCGCTCTCCGCACGCCCTCCTCGGCCCGCCCACCGCTGCGAGGCTTACCCCGACCTCTGGCGCCACCTAGTGGGAGCCCGCGGACACTGTCAGCCTCTCGGGCCCAGAGCGGCTGACAGGCGACTCTGCCAGGCTCACCTGGGGGACACCTGGAAGCAACAACTAAGATTGACAGCTACCCCCATCACCGCCCTGAACCCACCGTGTGTGGGTTCCGTCCTGGCACCGTCCTGGACACACGGAACCTTCCACAAGCTTCGCTCCATCCCAGCTGAGACTTCAGGGTCACCTTTACCAAAGCTGGGGGCAATAGAGCTAGTGAGGTCCCCAGAGGCCAGTGTTCATGCTGCCCTCACCACAGGCTGCTCCTACACGGGCCCACCCCACCCCCAGCAGATGGTAACCCCCACTTTAAGTCTCTTGCCCTATCTTCTCTGGGTCTTCTATAGGGTCCTCTTAAGGGAAATGGTACCCGGTATCCCGCAGTGGGGTGGGAGGGGACTTCAGATAATTCTTTGCTGCTCTACATGAACAAAATCTTACAAGCAGGAAAAAAACCTGAAGTGTTGAGAACTGAAGCTGCCTTGCACTAGCCACACGACCTGGTTGCTTCTCTCGGCCTCAATCACCTTGCCTCAAGCTGGTGATCAAGAAGGTAAGCAAAGCAAGAAACAGTTAAGTCATTAGCCAATGACTTAGTTTTGTTTTGTGGTTTTTTTTTAAGATTTTATTTATTTATTTGACAGAGAGAGAGACAGCGAGAGAGGGAACACAAGCTGGGGGCATGGCAGAGAGAGAAGCAGGCTTCCCGCTGAACAAGGAGCCCAATGCGGGACTCCATCCCAGGACTCTGGGACCATGACCTGAGCTGAAGGCAGACACTTAATGACTGAGCCACCCAGGCACTCCACCAATTGGTATTTTTAAAAATATTTTCTTTATTTATTTGAGAGCAAGAGCACGAGCAGGGGTAGAGGCACAGGGAGAGGGAGAAGCAGACTCCCTGCTAAGCAGGGAGTCCGACGCAGGACTCAATTCCAAGACCCTAAGATCATGAGCTAAGCCCAAGGCAGACGCTTAACCGACTGAGCTGCCCAGCTGCCCCAATTGGTTGCTGTTGTTTTTAAGTATTTATTTATTTATTTGTGAGAGAGACAGAGAGAGAGAGAGGTGGGAGGGACAGAGGGAGAGAGAGAATTTCCTGCGGACTCCACTGAGCATGGAGGCTGACGTGGGGCTCCAACTTATGACACCGAGTGCTTGACCAGAGCTGAAACCAAGATTTGGAAGTTCGACCAACTGAGCCGCCCAGGCAGCCCAGCCGATTGTTGTTTTTAAGATACAGTAAACTTTAGAAAGGAGTGAAGCTCACCCTCAAAAAGCTGCCTCTGGGGTGGGGTCTTCCATGCTTTAGAGGACCTTGGGAAGGGCCTCTCCCAGGAGCTTGCTCAGCCCGGGCACCAGGGGAGCCCAGGCTGGGAGCTGCAGCAGGATGAGTCACGTGGAGCCTTCCCACCAAACTAGGGGCATTCTAGAGGAGCTCCTAGAGACCCCAATATTTCCCAGCCAACAGCGTCGGTCCAGGCCGAGCCTGAGGATCTTGGCCCAGTGAGGTGCTTTCACAAGAGGAGAGAATGCAGGTTCTTCAAGCGTCATTCAGATTGTCCCTTTTTCAGGCAGATGTGTTTGAAGTTGACCCTTTATCCCAACTCTCAGGGTGTCTTAGAACCCCTCGGAGACCAGTCTTATCCCCACCTTATAGACAAGGAAGCCAGGCCAGAGGGATCCCAGCAACTTGCTCGGGGTCAGAGGTAGACAGGAAGGGATACCTGTGGGTCTGTCCCTTTCTTCTTGCTCCTTTCCTCCATCACCCTCTCCAGCTCAGACCTGAGTACAGTCCCACTTCTACCAGGAAGTTACAGACTTTGCAGGAGTGCTGGGGAGCAGGGGTCTGCCGGTCCAAACATCGGACATTCCCAAAGAAGAGCGGGACAATGCAGAGGCCAAAGGCCCTTGTGGTTTCTCTCCTTCCTGGCCCTGCGGACCTTACTATTTTCTGCCAAAGCCAGGAATCCCTTTGCTTGAGCTCAGAATACTGAGTCCACTCATAGCCCAGTGGTTTCAGGTTAAACATTAAGCAGAACTTCCTGAGGCCAAGAGAGCAAGAGCAGGGTGACTTCCTGGGCCCCTGCTGCGAGGCCTACGTGGCCCTGAATTGGGGACAGCCCTTCCTGGCACTTATCAGCAGGGTATTCTCCAAGTAGTCGTGGGAACTCAGCTCCACCTACAATCGGAGACAGGTCTCAGCTCTAGGTCTTAAAGGTGATGGGCAGAGAAGCAGCCTGGGGAATACAGGTGGAGAGGGCGAGGACCCTGTGGGGGTGGGAGCAAGCCCAGAAGAGGTACCAGTTGTTCTGTGACCAATGGCTCCTGATACTGCCACTGGACACAGCTGCTGTGTCCCCTGCCTCCCACACTCTGGGCCGTGTGACAGGACAACCCAGCCTCTTCCCGGGCACTGAGTCATGCTACCCAGCTGGCCTGTCCATCCCAGGAAGGGCACTTAGGGGCAGGCCCCCAGAATCCATAGGCCCAACCAGGGCAGAACAGAAACCATTCTCTTCTCCCCACTAAAAGGCCAAGGCCAACCCTGCCTTCTTGAGACTCCCTGGGAGACTGGCCAGACCCAAGACCTCAAGACAGTAGGGGCAGGAGCTGGAGTGGAACTGCAGAGGTATACCCACCCTGAGGCAGCCAAGCCTATGGCAGGCAGGACCTTTCTCACGGTCGTCCCGCATGAGGAAACTGAAGCTCAAAATTTCTCTGCTGGCTCAGGCAGAAAGAAGAGTGGCTAGGGAGAGCTGTGTGTTGGCAGTTTCTGGAGCCCACGCCCACCCCTCTCAGGGGCATAAAAGTGCTAAGGCACGGAGGCTATCGGGTCAGCTGCACAAAGGCCACCTCCAAGTCCTCTGAATGGGCCTGGCTGGGTCCCCTCCTCCCTCCATCACATGGACACCAGACCTGCAGCCCATTCATATCCTAGAACATTGCAGGGGCCAGGGAAATAGATGCTTGGAGGCAATGGCATTGTAATAAAGACACTGCTTTTATTTAGTTTGATATGTTTCTATACAGAATGCAGAAAACACATCTTAAAATCATATAGAAGGAAATAAAAACATGTCAGTGGTTGGTGAACACTTGAATGTGAGATTGGCTCTGTCTCACAGAGTCCAACGGCCATGGCCAGGAGAGGAGGCTGCCTGCAAGGGCATTGTTGCTGTTGTTATTCTGTTCACTGCCCCATCGCCTCCGGTTGCTATGGCAACAGGCCATTCGGGGCCAGCCATGTCTCTGCGTGGCAGTGCCCGATGGTGGGGTTGCTAGGGGCAACGGAGCTGTTTGGAAGGCCTTTCAAAGCCCTCACCTGGAACACTAGGAATTGTTTACTTTTTGATGAGGTCATCAAAAATAATCTCACCAGGTCAGACCCCACTTGTGCTCCTGACTCTGGGGCAATGGGGAAACTCTGGCTTGGATCAGGGCTGGGAGGCATGAGACCCAGTCACCAGAGGTCCACTGAGCCCTCATCCACAGGCTCCCCCACCACAGGGACACTGCTCGCTTGAGTACCAAGGGCTGGGCAGGGAGAGAGGCTGGGCCCTGTGGGAAAAGGCGCAGGGGGAATGCCCTCCTGAGAAGGGCAGGCTGGAGACCCCCTCCTCTCTGACTAGCCCTCCCCTCTTGAGGCAGCACACACAAATCCTCTGTGAAACAGTCGATATGGCTTAGAAGTGGCTGCTCGGTGTGCAAAGGGAGCCTGGGTCCACCCACCGGCCCTAGATCACGGAAGGGATACGTTATTGCAAAAGGCATTCCTCCCTAAAAGGTACCCAAAATAACTCTTAGACATCAAGAAAAGTCATGCTCAAAATGGTTTCTTCCAAAGGAGGAGAATCAAAGCAGAGTGGGCACCCCTGAGTCACGGGACAGAGATGCAGATGGACGGACGGACGTTCTGCTAAAAAAGACAAAAGAAGCTCAGTGTAATTTGAGAATTTAAACCATTATGAAAAGGGGGGGAAAAAATCAAAATGAGCAAAGCCGTCAGTTCCATGGAATCAACACTAAGAGCTCGTACAAACTGCTGTAAGCATCACCATTTTTAATCTTTTTTTTAATAAAACAATTTGAGGCTGTATAAAAACTTTAGTAAAAAATTAGCTTTGAGAGCCCACAGATTTCGACTATGAACTATTGCTGGCACTCCTCCCCTGCCACCAGACCTTTCCCAGCCCAAGGCCCGGGGCTGCAGTGCCAGAGAAGAGGGGTGGGGTGGGTCAGGGTGGGGCTGTGGACTGTTGGGGCAAAGCGGCCAAGGTCAAGTGAGGAAAGAGCATCACATGACATAAAAATATTGCATCTTCACCAAAATGTCCCCCACTGAGTGTTTCAAAAACCATGATATTCCTTTCAGGAGGGGAAAAAAAACACACAGAAGAAGGGTAAAAGAAAGTATGTTGATGTGGTCGAGTCCCTCGACCCCCCCAAGCCACCCCCACGAGCAGCCGGCCCACCCTGGAGCACCTAGGTTGGGGGCCACAGCCACCACTGCCTCTTGGAGTCCCTTTTCCATGGAAATGAAGACCCCTTGGTGGTGGGCCACTAGCGTGCATGCGGTGGGGGTGTGGATGTCCACGGCCAAGAGGCCCCTCCAGCTTCCGGCCTCTGGCAAGAGCGGGAGAGCAAGCCCAGCACCAGGACCCCGGCCCCAGAGCCACAGCCGGGAGGCCCCCAGGCAGGCTCTGCGGTATCAGAGCAACCAAGTTTACATAGTGTGAAAAAATAGGATTCCTTTGATAAAAAATACTGTCCCTTGGTCTTCTCTAAGTTTGAAACACCCTGGGAGCTTATTTTTAGCAAAGCAATTTCCCATACCCACCCAAAAATTATACATACAAGTTTAGGTAAACAGCAGATTAAATGTAAAAACTTAACCTTAACTTCTGAAAGTCCTTTGACTTTAATCTTTAGCTACTGTTTTCCATGTTACATCCTGCAGCTAGACACACGTGAATAGAAAAAACAGTACAGTTAGTGTTAAAGGCAAAACGCAGAGAGCTGGGAGGCCGCCCAGCACTGCCCGCGAGTTCATTCACGGCCCCTCGCTCCCTCCATCTACCTCTACTCCAAACAGTGCTTTCAGAGCCAGCCATCAAAACCGCAGCAAAGAATTTTCTATGAACAAACGAAAAAGCTGTTAGGCAAAAAATAAAAGTAAAAATGTCCCCAAAGTCTCTCCAGCTGCTTTGGGGTTTGGAGGACCAGAGAGGGCGGGCTCGGCCAGGCCTCGCGTGTCAGTGTGTGCTAGGTCAGGTGTCGGCTCCCAGTGGGCGATGGTCTGCAGGCCACCGGTCTCCACAGACAACACCGTGTTGTCTCCAGGGCCCTGCCCTACCCCTGCCTCCACCCAGGCGCTTGTGGGTTAAGGGGGCACGTAGGGAGGGGGCGACCGGTATGGGGTCATGTTCTTGGGACGGGAGCCCTTGCCCTCCATGGGGGCAGTGAAGGGTGGGGGGGGCTGGTAGGGAGGCGCGTTGGGATCCTCATCCCGCAGGGGCGTGTACTCTCCCACGGTGTCCTGGTTCAGAGGAGTGGTCTCGGGCACGCTCTGGTTGGGGTACTCAGGAGGGGGGAGAGGGGCTTTCTCCTCCTGTAGGATAAGTGGCATGCTGGAGGAGGGTGGGGGCTTGGAGTCATCCAGCTCGTCTGCAAAGATGATAGGCACCCCCTTCTTGATGAAGGTGGCCTGGTCCTCGAGGGTGAGCTTGCCCTTCCGCTTCTTGCGGTAGCAGATCATGGCAATGATGCCGGCGATGAGCAGGATGGCCGCGACCACGACGGCCGGGATGACCGTGTGCAGGTAGACGTCATCCTCACTGCTCTTCTCGGGGTCCCTGTCCGGCCCCTCTGTGGGTGGCGCCTCTGAGGGCGCTCTCTCGGGCGGCGCCATGGGGATGAACTGCAGATGCCGGCAGCTGCCAGCGCCAGTCACCGAGACGCTCATGGCCTTAAAGTCAGGCTCCAGGGCATTGGAGAAGGCAGCCCGCGGCTTCCCGTCATCCTCCGCGATCCTCCGGCTCAGCCCCGTGATCTGCTCCTTGGGGCAGGGCTCCAGGGGCAGAGTGTTGTTCGTCCACTCCACCACGATGGAGCCCCGGGTGATGTTCTGCAGGGTGACGGTGCTACAGTTGCGGTCCCCAAAGGCAAAGGCCAGCTTCTTCACCAGGGCGATCTTCTTGTGGATGTCGTTAACCACGGGGGCTGGGTCACCCACAAACTTGGCCTTGAACCGCGCGGGAGCCCTGTCCCCTTGAGGGCGCTTGTGGACGTGGATCTCGAAGGCATCCACAGCGGTCAGGCCCCCCTTGTCCGTGGCGTGCATGAAGTACTCGTGCTTGCCCACGTGGCTGCTGTCGGGCAGGCCGTACATGAGCTGGCTGTTGCTGTTGAACTGCACCCAAGACTTCTCGCCTACCAGCTGCTGCTCCCGAAGCTTCAGGGTCAGCTTCAGCTTGTCGGTGGTGGTGTCCTCGTTGTCATAGAAGGTGTCTGACGGGATCTTCACCTCGAAGTACGTGCCCACCCAGGCATCCACCCTGTCGATGTGGTTCTTCAGCTCTGGCCGCTGGTTGGGTTCTCCTCCGCGGGGAACCCCACTGGTGGTGGTGCGGATGCGAGTAGGCGGGGAAGCGGTTTCCAGTCTGGTGATGGGAGCTTTGGTGGTGACCCGCGGCACCGGTCGGGGTGTCCGTGGCTTTTTGGTCGGCCTTCGAGTTGTGGTAGAGGAGTCAGTAGAAGGCGTGGCTGGTTTTGGTGTGGATACACGTGGCTTCTTGGTGGTAGTCGTGGGAGGGGTGGCAACGGCCGTGGGCTCCACGTAGCCAGGAATGGTCATCGTTGGGCGGATCTGGCCAGGAACCGTGGTGCCAGCTTCTGACACCCGAGTGGGCTGGATGGGGCCTAGGGTCGGGGTCTGAATAATGGCACCTCGAGTCCGAGTGGTGACTGTGGGCTTTCCAGGAACAGGGTCTCTGACTGGAGGAGCCAGTGTCTCTGTTGGAGGAGCAATGGCTGGGGATGTGGGGGTAGGCACGATTCTGGACGGTGGCTCCTGGATGGCCGTGGTGGGAGGCCCAATGGCAGTGACAGGTGTGGGAGTGGCATGGATCTGCCTCCGGATGCGTTTGGGGAGAGGGGGCTTCTTGTTGGCGATATGCCAACCCACCACAGGGTAGCCCAGCTGGGCAGACATAGCGCCCTCCCTGGCAGGGGCCTCCACACCACGGATATCAGGCACATTGTTCTGGTTCAGGGAGCAGCCCAGCTTCCAAGAGAGCAGGGCCCCATTCTCCACCACCTTTTTCGCATTGCCGGGGCCGGCCATGAAGGCTGACATGTCGAACAGTCTGTTGTTCACCACGGGGACCAACTTCATGTTGGGGAGCTCCACTTCGGAGAAGCTCCGCATCCTGTGCAGGAGGTCAAGTCTTTGCTTCGGGGTCATCTTGGTGAGGTCAGCATCTAGAATGACCGTCAGGACAGTCACAGGCTCGTCGGCAGCACAGGCAGAGGACGCTGCCTCAGCAGGCTCTGGCGATGCCGCCCGCACAGACTGCGGCTCGCTGTGGTCTTCAGGGTAGACCTCAATAGAGAACACACTGGAGCTCTGCGGGACGTGGCTCCCGTTGGCCCCCAGCCGCGTGGCGCTCACTGAAATGTAATGCACGCCCTTATCGGTGTCGAGAGGGAGGCCCTCCAGGGTGTGGCTCTGCGGGTCCCAGTGCAGCCAGGACGGCAAGGCCTCCTTCCCCGCCGTGGACACCTAGAAGAGACACCAGCATGAGTTAAGTGGCACTGTCAATGCCTAAGCGGACAATGATCACAACAGTTCCTCCCTGGCCTTGCCCAAGCTGCGCGACAGGCTGAACGTGCTACTCAAGAATTTCTGCTGGGGAACCAGCTCTGCTCCTGGAGCTCTCATTCACCTGTCATGGGAGACTGGGGCTGCCAGATAGGCTAGCTTGGAAGGCAAATGATTGCCCAAGGTCACACTGCGGGCAGACAGCAGTGGTGGCACCCAAACACAAGTCCCATACCAGAGAACTGAGGCCGTTGGGCTCAAGAATGTTGTGGGTCTCCACGACAGCAACATGCCTTGCCGCCTACTTGCCCGCCTGGCCTGCGGAGTAAGGTCCCAGCGTCTCCTCCCTCAGCACTCCTTTTCAACCCTGTCTCAGACTTCTCCCTGCCCTCTGCAGACACCAGTTTTGCTCGAGTCATATGCCCTTCCTGCCCAGAAGTGGATATGCATACGACCCTGGCTGCAAGGGACAACTCAGTATCTCCAGACGCCTCACTTAAACTACCCCGTCAGTGGGACATACATTCAAGTAGAGTGGGACACATTTGGGTAGCAAGTACAGCTAGCCGTATCTAACGTCTTAATGAACCTGCTCTTCAAATCTCAGGAAAAACTGCAAAACCCAGGGTGGGGAGCTGGAAACAACTACTCTAGAAGAGTATTTATCAAAGAGTCCAAGGAGCTCTGACTAAGGGAGAGTTCATTAGTCAACTAAGTTCGGGAAATAGAGCCCACTTCTGTCCTTGGAGAGCCCAGGCCCTGAAGCCGGCCTGAGGAGCTCACTCCCTTATTCCACCCAACAATTTTAGGGTAGAAGTCCTTTTCCACAGAGACATGACTGGTAATAATCAAGGTATCCAAAGGAATGCTGCCAGAGAAACTTCTACCATCAGCTGACAAGAGGAAAGCAAGGCTTGCCTCTAGCCCAGGCCCTATCTGTGACTACTCTCACCTCTGGGAAATGCCTATTCCTGCCCCCCAGTGCAAGAAAGGTGGTACCCACTCTCTGGTCTAACAAAAGTCACTCTCAGCTCCACGATCCTGTCCCATCAAGCCTAGACACAAACGGCATGTCTTACCACCAGCCTCGGCCCAGGGATGGCCCTGCATGGCCACTGCTTGTCAGCAGAGGGACACTAACATGCTTCTCTGCCTGCAGCAGGAAGGCCAGAGCCATGCCTGCTGGGCTCACTAAGAGGCTCTGGTTCCTCAGGATTCTTCTTGCCAAAAGCCAGATGCCTGACTGGGAAGGAGACCCATACCTGACCTTCCCAGTGAGGACCTGCTGTCCAAGTCTTGGCATTCCATCAGTCTTACCAGAGACTAGATACTCTCCTGTGAACAGATTTCCTACCTCCAGCAAAAACCCACAAGAAGACATCTGACATTATTAGAAGTTACCATTATTGGGGCTGTCCTTTAGTGACTGCTTCTGAGCCCCTGAAATCACAAGGGTCTATGAATAGCTTCATTCACGACACCACAGCAACTCAAGGTGCACCACCACCTACTTAAGGCACCAACAAGAACCCTACTTCCTGTCATCACCATCCACTGCAAACACAGCCAAATGGATCTGTCTTCAGATCCATTGAAAAACACTAAATATATTTCTCCTTTAAAATCTTTTTTAGCTACAAAAATAATACTTATTTTGAATGTTTTGGTTAAAGCCTATGTTTTAAATTTTTTCAGTTCAGTTATATTAAATATGAAAATTGTCACATCTACATATAAACATGTAAAGCAAACGCTAACTGCTCTCCTTTTGCAAAAAATAGGAAGCAAAGCTGTAAGGCCCAAACTGAGGAGTCAGGGAACCACAAAGTGTTTTACAGTGCTAGGGTGCGGCCTGGGGTCCTGAGAGGCGGACAGGAGGGGAGCCAGGCGGCAGCTGGGTTCCCAGCCACCCAAGCATGTTTCCTCAGCACACTCCATCCCAGTGGCCACCACTGGGACGACAGCACACCCAGCAAAGGGAGAGCCTAGAATGGAGAGCTCAAAGTGAAATCTTCCCAGGAGAAGCCACCTGCAGAGAAGACCAAACAGGGCCGGGAGAGAGACCAGGACAGGCTCTGGACGTGGGTGCCAACTGGCTGCAGGACCCCAACATTCCTGAGTAGCCAGGCGGTTGTACCCAGCCCTATACGCTCCATCAGCACAGATGAGTAAGTAGTCCTAGTGCTCTTCCAAGTCTCACCAGCTACACAAGGACACTTTCTAACAGAGAAAACCGAGAAGGGCCCCGCCTCCTCAAGCTTCCCAGCCCAGCTTAATTCCTATTCTGCTGACCCCAACAGCCACAGCTCTGCTGCCAGACATTTCCTAGGGAAAAAGCCTAAGCCACTCTTTGGCCAAGGTTCCCACATGGCCAAGCTCGAGGACATACACTTATTTAAACTCTGCCAAGTAACATTTTTACACGTTAATAACATGTAACAGTCTCTCCAACCCACACTTCTGCCTTCCCTTCTACAGATCCCGGCCCCTCTGGATCCTGGAGCATCGGCCATGCCCTGGCAGAGGACATGTGTCCAACCCGGATCTATAAACCTGAAGCAGACAGTCCCCAGGGTCCTGGGTACTCCTCAGACAGGAATGAAAGGTATCAGCCTGAAAGTTCTAACACCATGCATCTCTGAGCATCTAGGTATCAGCACTGTCAGGTCCAGACAGCACTTTAAGTGGCAGTGATTCTCTTCAATAAAGGGCCTCAAGAAGCAAAATGAACACCAGCCTACAAGGAACCCAGCCAAGTCACAAGCAAGCTGGCATCTCTGCATTTTCAAGGCCATTTGGGGAAAGCCGCTGAACCGGGAAGCCTGAACATGCCTAAAGGGCTGGCAGTGTCCACAGTCCCTGAAGGATCCCACTAACTCCCTCCCTCCTAGGGCACTCAGTTGAGGGAATGTTCTGAAATGCAACACCTGCTCTACTCTGTCAAAGAGGGAGCCCCTCAGCCCGGGGAAACTCCATACATCCTCCCAACCTTTCAAAGCTTCCAGACTCTAGAACACTTTTCCTCTCAGGGCCTAAGTGCGAAGCAGGACATGAAAGCTCCTCCTGAGAGAGCTGCCCCCACGACAAGCCAGGACTCTTCCCTACAACAACAGCAGATTTGACAGGAAGTCCCATCTCCAAGCCTCAGTCCTTGGCTGAATCCTGGTTCCAGACAAGCTGAGGCTTCACCCAGCCTCAGCCCCGGTTTTGTCATCTGTAAAAGGGGGAAAACGATGGCATCCTTGTACAATCGCTGGGCCAGGCACAGGCTGGGTTCTCTGTGGGGACCAGTTCCCTGCCCACTCCCAGGCTGAGAGGACCCAGTATTCACTGGGAGGCTGCTGCAGCAACAGGCTGAGGGTCCATCCCCCAGTCCTCCTTCTGGCCTCGGACCCAGCACACAACCTGTGGCCTTTTCTCCCTGGTCATCCCCCAAAGCAGAAGCTCAAAGCATCAAAGGGAAGTGGGGAGGCCCCAGGAAGGGGAGCCAGGACTCTACAGGGGAATAAGGCCCTGGGACACTCAGAGACTTGCTTGACCGTTGAGAGCTAACTGCTGGGACTGGATGAAAACCCTGAGGGGCCTGGGGGAAAAGAGAACTTGCTGCAGGGGCAACCCAAAGACCAGCATTCACCTCTTCAGTCTCAAACGGATGTGCTCCATCCTGGCATGTTTGCACATGAGATTCCGACGATCCTTACAGTCTCTGGGTTTATGCACATAAAGATTTCTGCCCTAGGTGTACCACCCACAACTAAGCCTTAAAGGCAGGAACGAGAGACAAGAGGCAGGAATCAGAGCTCTGTGTGAAGTGCTCCTCAGCACCAGCACATGTGTTTGGGGGACAGGCTGGTCCAGGTCATGGGACACCCCCAGGGTTTCAGATCACTCAGCCCCCCATCACTAGACACCAACACTGTCTTGGAACTGGGGGGAGGCAAGGCCTGCTGACCTTTTATAAAGCAGCCACCTTAAATAAAAAGCCTTCAGGCTATCAGTGGGAACACCTGTAGGGGGTGCAGAAGCTGCATGAAAAAGGCTGATTTAAGAAGATCACAGGCTCTAGCTCATAGGCTCACACAGAGCAAGCCAGGAATCTTTCCAATTTTAGCAACCCTCAGAGAAGACATGCTTCTGAGAAGGCAAGCCCACCACCGAGGAAAATAAGATCTCCAACTGCCCCACACCCAGTTTTAGAAATCTTGATCCACAAAGTACATCCAAAAACTAAGAATCAAAACCACGAAACTTGGGCAGACCCATATGGAGCTCCAAAGACTACCCGCCCAGCAATGCCCACAATGAATCACCATGACCAATGACTGGGGAACTGCCAAGTGTGAAGGTTTTAGTCACTCTTTAGTCTGTATCTGTAGATAACTAGTAACTGACTCTCTGTTCAGTTCTGGGGCATTCTCTCCAACTGCCTCACTGCTGCCCTCTCTCACACACAACAGAATGTCAAACACCGGTTTGATAAAGATACAGGATCTGTTCCAAACACCACACAACACAAGCAGCATGTCTCACCCCAAATCAGTATCCCTCTAAGCCTGGAGAGAGAGCAAATGGGCAGAGAACTCTCAGTACTTTACCCCTACCAAAAAGCAAGTTCCCAATACCAAAACCGGATAAAGCCACCAAAAAAAAAAAGAGAAGCACAGGCCAATATCTCTGATGAACACAGATGCAAAAATATTCAGCAAAATCCTAGCCAACTCAATCTAACAATTCAAACAACAATCCAAAAAATCGTTCACTGTGATCAACTGGGATTTGTTCCTGGGACGAAAGGTGGTTCATTATTAGCAATTTAATCAACGTGATATGTCATATCAGTAAGAGAAAGGATAGAAATCATTTGATCATTTCAATAGATGCAGAAAAAGCATCTGACAAAGAACATACATTCATGATTAAAAACCCTCAACAAAGTAGGTCTAGAGGGAACACGCCTCAAC